GGGGGTAGGGTAGGTGGGACAGTGATAGATGGATTTAGGTAGGGGGTTTTTGTGATTGGACCATGTTCTGAGGAAGAGTCACCGGACCCGAAACGTTAACTCTGTTTTCTCCTTCACAGATGCTGCCAGACCTGCTGAGCTTTTCCAGCAACTTTATTTTTGTTCCTGATTTACAGCATCCACAGTTATTTTGGTTTTTATAACAGTGTTATAATTCTGGGCGACGTTGGTGAATAACTCTGTGTTAGTCCTTTCTGAGACTCAGTGTGTTGGAGCATCAGCTCCCTGTTCAGTCTCAGTAACATGAGGCACTTTCAGTGCACCACTTTCAATATCTCCTAATGAGCAGATTGTACTAAAATCAGGATGGAGAGCTACACAGAATATTGACCCAAGTCAGTCAATAAATCAGTGTTGAAATGTCTCTAAATTTGCTTGCTGGAGTTTAAATCACTTGAATTCTGTCTTCCAGGCAAATCATTTATTGTTTTGTTTCAAATTTCCAGCATTTGCAGTTCTTTGTTTTATTGAAGTCATTTATTGCATGGAGGGAAAACTTAATCTAAGAGAACATCAGTGACAGCCTAATACTCTATCAGCAGTATTGGCTTTCCCTCACTTTTTAACTGAGAGCTAGAGTTTCAAACAATGAGGCTTATTTTAACAGCACCATTATCAGCCCAGAGGAAGACACTTAACAGAGGCCACTTCCTCTCTCTCAGTTTGTCTGGAGCTAACTGTATTTACGTTCTCTGTAAAATCTCCACAGGTTGATGGACCCAGCAAAGCAGCAGAAAGAAAGTAGTTCCCAGGAAGATGACAGTACAGAGGATAGTGAAGATGAGTGGGAGGAAGTGGAAGGTAGGTTAACAAACATTATCACAGACTAATAGGGATGTAATTTTACCTGACCTGCCAAATGGATCACCTGGCATTCAACCTGGTTTCAATGCAACTCTAATTTGCAGTACACTTCTTAACCTGTCCCTAAGTGTAACCTTTCAGTTGAAACGGGAGAGAGTTTTACTCTGTATCTAACCTCATGCTGCCCCTGTCCTAGAAGTGTTTGATGGGACAGTGTAGAGGGAGCTTTATTCCAAATATAACCTCGTGCTGTCCCAATCCTGAGGGTGTTTGATGGGGGCAGTGTGGAGGAGGCATTCCTTTAGTTTGAAAGAGTAGAGAAAGCTTTACATAAGTTTCAAAGAAAAAAAGGTGTATAAGGAGCTTTACACTGGATCTGAACCCATCCTGGGAGTGTTTGACGGCAATAATATATCTGTATACTGTCGCCCTGTATGCTATCTGTACCCTGTATCTAACCTTGTGCTATCCTTGTCCTGGGTGTGTTTGATGGTGTTGAGGGAGCTTTACTTTCTGTTTAAAAGAGTAGAGGGAGGTCTGCTCTCTATCTAACCCTGTGCTGTCCCTGTCCTGGGCGTATTTAATGAAACAGTGCAGAGGCAGCTTTATTCTGTATGTAACCCCATGCTGTAGTGAGAGTGTTTGGTGGAAATAGTGTCAGGGGAGATTTACTTTCCATTTAAGAGTAGAGGGACCTTTACTCTGTATCTAAATCCATGCTGCCCCTGTCCTGGGATGGGTCAGATGGGAACAGTGTAGAGGGAACTTCACCCCCCACACTGTGTCTAACCCTGTGATATACCTGTCCTGGGAGTATTTAATGCTGCCACTGTCCTATTTTCTGTCACTGTGAGGTGTACATTGCTTGATCTTTTTGAGTCATTAACTGATGTTGAATGACTGCCCAATGGTATAAAGTATCTCAGAATTTAATCATTCTTTTCTTTCCTTCTCTGACAGAGCTCCAGACCTCTATGCCAGAAGAACCATCTGCCGCTCCCTTTCCTGAATCCACCATCCCTGCAAAACCACTCGAGATTGAAATCGAAAGCCCAGCACATGCCAAGAACAAAGAGAGAAGGCCTGTGACCTATAATCACTTTTGAATTTACTGCTGCCATTATCAGAATTCAGCCTGACATCTTCTTTTTCACTCTTTGCGGTAGCACTCTCTCTCACTCTCTCTCTTTCTTTCTGAGTCAGAACATCCTGAGCTGTAGTCACGCGCTGTAAATACACCAGACAGAAGTCTGGCTCTCACTGTTATACGCAAGAAGATCTGAATCCACTCTTACGTGAAAGTTTTATTTCTGTTAACTGCATTCTATAAATATACATCACACTGACTGCTAATTCCCGATATTTATACAATCAATTCACACCCAGTTTAAAAAAAAACCCTTACCTAATATATCCATCACCTGTTCCCTCATTCCATTACATCTCAGGCGTCTCTTCACATTATATTACACAATGACAGCCTCCACTGTCCACACCAGGATAAAATACAGCACTGTCAGCTGTTGTCTTTCAGCACGGAGAGTTCAGAACAAGGACTACAATGTTCAAATTAATCAGGCTGTTCAGGAGTGATGTCAGGCAGGAAGTTTTCACACAAAGGGGAGTGGAAGTAAGAAATAGAAAGAGAAGTAGGCCATTCAGCCCCTCGACCCTGCTCCACTGTCATGGCTGATTACACATTCCTCATTTCCACCTTCCAAACCCACTTCCATCTAGAAGGACAAGGGCAGCAGATACGTGGGAACACCACCCCCTGCAAGTTCCCCTCCAACCCACTCACCGTCCTGACTTGGAAATATATTGCCACTCCTTCACTGTCACTGGGTCAAAATCCTGGAATTCCCTCCCTAAGGGCATTGTGGGTCAACCCACAGCATATGGACTGCAGCGGTTCAAGAAGGCACCTCGCCACCACCTTGTCACGGGCAACTAGGGACGGGCAATAAATGCTGGGCCGAGTCAGCAATGCCCACATCCCGTGACTGAATTTAAAAAAAAAGCTTTCCTACATTCCTCCCATAATCCTTGATTCCCCGAATGATCAAGAATCTATCAATCTCAGCCTAAACGTACACAAGGAGTCTGCCCCCACAGCTCTCTCTGGCAAGGAGTTTCAAAGACTCTCAACTCTCGAAGACATTCATCCTCATCTCAGTCTTAAATTCATCCCCCGTTATTCTGAGACCATGCCTTTTGGTCCTAAACTGTCCGTTGAGGGAAACATCCTCTCAGCATTAACCCTGTCAAACTCCTTAAGAATCCAATATATTTAAGTGAGATCACCTCCAATTCTTCTATCAACTGTGCTCTGAAAAGACCAAGCAAGACACTCAGTTGAAGGGCAGTTTAGGATACAAAACAGATGCTTGCATTTCCAGAAACCTCTTGTTAAATAATGAAACATAAAGTACCTGCCACTGACTGATTTTCGAACGGTACTTTATAGTGGTCAAGATATGAAACAAAAAAAACAGAAATTACTACAGAAACTCGGCAGGTCTATCAGCATTTTTGGAGAGAGGAAACAGAGTTAACGTTTTGAGTCTTTCAGAATTGATAGCAGCTGGGAAATGGTGTCATTTATGCTAATGATGGGAGGGTGTTGGGGAGGGAAAGGAGTAAGTGGGTAGGTGGAAATGAAACCCAGAGAAAGTTGTTTCTTTCTTTTCTTTAATTCTCTCTATTAGCTTACCATCAGCAATCCCTTCGTCTGCGTAACTTTCTTTTTTCTCTGCCTTATTCTGTTAAGGGTGCTATACAAATACAAGTGATTGTTGTTGTTGTCCATTGTGTTACCCCTCCCTGCCTCTTAACCTCCACATGTCCCGGATGATTCTTTGTTGTCAACGGTTAGATTTAAGTACAATGTTGCCTTGGCTGAAGAGTTTCCGTTATGAAAGGAGGTTGGACAGATTGGGGTTGTTTTCCTTAGAGAAGAAGAGACTGAGTGGGGCGTGACTGAGATGTATAAAATTCCGAGTGATTTGGAGAGGGTGGACAGGAAGGAATTCTCCCCCTTGATGGAAGGATCGATGACTGGGATGGGGGTGATAGGTTGAAGGTAAGGGCCAGGAAGTTCAGTGGGATATGAGGAAAAGCTTTTTCACCCAAAGGCTGGTGGGAATCTGGAACTCACTGGCTGCAAGGATGGATGACAGAAACCCTCATTACGTTGAAGAAGTATTTAGATGTACACTTGCTATAGCACAACATACAAGCCTCTGGGCTAAGTGCTGCAAAATGGGATCAGAACAGTTCTAAAAACAGGAGCTGCTATAAAAGTTCGGCAGGTGTGGCAGCATCTGTAGAAGGGTCACTGGATCCAAAATGTTAATTCAGATTTGTCTCCACAGATGCTGCCAGACTTGCTGAGCTCTTCCATCAACTTCTGTTTTTGTTGCTGATGTAGAGCATCTGCTGTTCTTTCTGTTTTTAATCAAAGTAGTTAGGTGGTTGTTTTTGACTGGCATGGACATGATGGGCCAAACATAGAACATAGAACATAGAACATAGAACATTACAGCGCAGTACAGGCCCTTTGGCCCTCGATGTTGTGCCGACCTGTGAAACCAATCTGAAGCCCATCTAACCTAAACTATTCCATTATCATCCATATGTTTATCCAATGACCATTTAAATGCCCTTAAAGTTGGCGAGTCTACTATTTTTGCAGGCAGGGCATTCCACGCCCTTACTACTCTCTGAGTAAAGAACCTACCTCTGACATCTGTCCTATATCTATCACCCCTCAATTTAAAGCTATGTCCCCTCGTGCTAGCCATCACCATCCGAGGAAAAAGGCTCCCACTGTCCACCCTATCTAATCCTCTGATCATCTTGTATGTCTCTATCAAGTCACCTCTTAACCTTCTTCTCTCTAACCAAAACAGCCTCAAAACCCTCAGCCTTTCCTCATAAGACCTTCCCTCCATACCAGGCAACATCCTGGTAAATCTCCTCTGCACCCTTTCCAATGCTTCCACATCCTTCCTATAATGCGGTGACCAGAACTGTACGCAATACTCCAAGTGCGGCCGCACCAGAGTTTTGTACAGCTGCAACATGACCTCATGGCTCCGAAACTCAATCCCTCTACCAATAAAACCTAACATACTGTACGCCTTCTTAACAACGCTATCAACCTGGGTGGCAACTTTCAGTGATCTATGCACATGGACACCGAGATCTTTCTGCTCATCCACACTACCAAGAATCTTACCATTAGCCCAGTACTCTGTATTCCTGTTACTCCTTCCAAAGTGAATCACCTCACACTTTTCCGCATTAAACTCCATTTGCCACCTCTCAGCCCAGCTCTGCAGCTTATCTATGTCCCTCTGTAACCTGCAACATCCTTCCGCACTATCCACAACTCCACCAACTTTGGTGTCATCCGCAAATTTACTAACCCATCCTTCTACGCCCTCATCCAGGTCATTTATAAAAATGACAAACAGCAGTGGCCCCAAAACAGATCCTTGAGGTACACCACTAGTAACTGAACTCCAGGATGAACATTTCCCATCAACCACCACCCTCTGTCTTCTTACAGCTAGCCAATTTCTGATCCAAACCGCTAAATCACCCTCAATCCCATGCCTCCGTATTTTCTGCAATAGCCTACCATGGGGAACCTTATCAAACGCTTTACTGAAATCCAAATACACCACATCAACCGCTTTACCCTCATCCACTTGTTTGGTCACCTTCTCGAAGAACTCAATAAGGTTTGTGAGGCACGACCTACCCTTCACAAAACTGTGTTGACTATCCCTAATCAAATTCTTCCTTTCTAGATGATTATAAATCCTATCTCTTATAATCCTTTCCAACACTTTACCCACAACCAAAGTAAGGCTCACTGGTCTATAATTACCAGGGTTGTCTCTACTCCCCTTCTTGAACAAGGGGACAACATTTGCTA